AAACTTGCTTAAATCAGTACCCTGTGACACTATCACCACTCATTTCTTTCCCATTACCTATGTTGGGTAAAAAAATCTAGTCATTTTATTTGAACTTTTTTTCTTGGAGTATTTATATTTCTTTATTTAATTAGTAAATTATTGGAAGCTAAGGGATTTATTGTGATAAGGGCAAAGAGTTAAAAAACGCACAAACTCAGAAGTTCTAACAAAATATTTTAACACATTGTTTTTTCTCTTGTCCACTATTTTACTTTTCAGGTTGAGGAGCTGCAATCTTTCAGAGATAAGCTGTGAAGTGCTTTCTTTAGCGCTCAGCTCCCAGTTGTCTAGTAAGAACACCTCGCAGGATTCAGGAGTGAAGCAACTGTCTACAGGACTCAAGAGTTCATACTGTACACTGGAAACTCTCAGGTCAGATCAACATATACATTTGTTTATTCCTTCAGAAATTTAAAAAATAAGAATTGTAGCTACCAAATACAGGTTAATTTATGTGTTATGTTTTACTTCTATCTACGTTACTTAAACTGTCAAATTTCTTAACTGCTTAACTAAACAAACTTTGGGAAGGGAATTTTTTAACCATCACCGAAACAAGATTAAATATTGCAGAATATACTTCTTCCTGTACCATGATTACGTGTTGAAACCAGTGTTGTCTTATTTTTTTTCTTATTAATTCTTCCGGACGAGAAATTGTAGACTCTCACAGAGAAGCTGTGAAGCTCTGTCCTCAGCTCTCAGCTCCTTGTCCAAGTCTTAGAGAGTTGGACTTGAGTCACAACGAACTGTGCGGTTCAGGGGTGAAGCACCTGAGGAGTCCCAAGTGTACAATTGTCAGGTCAGATCAAGAGATATTTTTGATTCTTTGAGAAAATAACCAATGAGAAAAGATGTTGTAAACATTATACCTTTTAAACATAATTTTCACTGTTAGTATGTTAGTATTGCTAAGTGTTCTCTAACAAGACTGAAGCATTTTCATCTGTGAAAACACAGAATTTTCATAATCTAATCCAATCAGATTATAGTATACAACATCACTGAAAATGCTCACTATCATGCATTTTTGCAAAAGCTGCAGTAAAAAACTATGGAAACTGGTAAATGATACATAAATAAATAGGGCAGCACGGTGGCACAGTGGTTAGCACAGCAAGAAGGTCCTGAGTTCAATTCCACCATAAGGCCTGGGGTTCTCCCCGTGTTTGGGTGGGTTCCCTCCGGGTACTCCAGGTGTCCGTCCAAAGACATGCAGTTTGTGGGGATAGGTTAACTGAATATTCTAAATTGCCCATAGGTGTGAATGTGAGTCAAACAATTTGTGGTAACTTGCTATTTTTAATTGAACAACAACAAAAATAACATTATGTTTTATCATCGTTTAACACTGAGATTTCTACTACAACACTTAATAAACCACTGTACATAAGTATCATATCTGTAATGCAATTATTTAGCATTATTTAATAAAACTTAATTATTTAATTTCCTTCTAGAACCACCTAGGCTGTTCTAAAATATCTGTTCATTACATTATTTTTGTGACCATAGACGGTCACGTAAGGGTTTCTCAACAAACACATTCAGCTATGATCAAATATGTTTACAGTTCGATTAAAATTGATCCAACTGATTACCATTATTGCTCAGTAGCAGACAGTAACTGCAAAATTGAGTCATTGTCCATCCCGGACACCAGGGGCCGAAACTGAGCGACCCTTTCTCTTGCAGCCAATTAGATAACCCGGAAGCAGTAACAGGAAGGTCTCCAGCTGGATATGGGTTTGATGAGGTCTGATTTTTGAGGAAAGTGAAGCTCAAAGTTTGTCTTCAGAGGCTGAAAGCTGCTCAGATCAAAGATACAAAACATAAACCAGCCTTTAAATCAATTTATTTATGCTCGAGTGACTCAAAGAAACCGACTAATTCCTGCAGATTCGTTTTTCGTTTACATATTGCATATGTTTACAGATTTTTGTTGATGCCAGTCTCTGATATGCAAACACTCTCCTGTAAATGGAGAGTTATTGTAATGTCGGGCGTGTTACGTGAATTTTGGCGCTAAATCTCCATGGTGACAGCTCATTTAGATGAGAGGGAAGCAGAAAAGGCGCCGTTGACTGAGCTTTAATGTGAGTTTAAACGACAGCCCTGATGACAGACACTTTAAAGCAGAAATCAGTTATTCAATGTCCATATGAGGATCCACATAATTTGGAACAATCCGCTGAACTCAACTGCACGAACACAGATGTAAATCTTGACTCTTTCGGCGTTAATGTCTCATTACAGAAGCCTTTTTCTTTTCTTTGAGAGACGTTGTAACGTGTTTTTAGAATCACAGTTTAAAATGCTTAATATGAAAAAAATGCGAGGAACCCTGAAAAGTCTGAAAGGTTTCGTAAGCGCTCCATTTTGTTAAAGCGGTTACCTACAGTTTTGTAACCCGCTAACAGAGTTTGAATTTCCCGCAATCGTTTAGGGGTTACGTGAGCACTTCTCTCGACCTGACTGGCTGCTGCTGCTTCTTCTTCTTCTTCTATATAGGGTTTACTGGCAGTTGGCAAACAGCAAAATGGTGCATTACCGCCACCAACTACCCGACTGGCTTGGTCCCTCCCGACGGTTTAAAGGGACTCCTCGTATTGGCCAGCAGTTCTGGCGCCAAGATTCCAATAAAAGGGCGAGCTGAAGCAGAGGCCTTTCACTGTCTCCGTCTGTCCGCTGCTGCTATCTTTGCTTTCGGCAACTTTTAGCTTCTTAGGTTTTTTCTTTTCTTCGTCCTTTCGAACCCGCGAATTCACAATGCTGACCGCGCGCTCCCCGCTCTCTGTGAAGAACGAGCAGACCCTCAGCGGGCAGCTGGACAAAATGTCTCTGGACAAAGAGAACACGGTGAGGCTGCTTCAGGTTCCCGCTCACAGAGGCCGCCGATTCTTTAACGTCACCGAACAATTACAGGTATCGATAAAGAGTCGCTGTGTGTGCTGACGGTCTGTGTCTCCTTTCAGCCTCCGGGCCCGAACAGCAGCCGCATCCTGGCGTCCCAAACCGCGCGGAGGATCTTCGACGCTGCTGCGGTAAGTGAGAAAGAAGCCGCAGGAAGCTTCGTACTTTTAGCGGATTCCTCATATCAGCGGACCGAGTCGATGCTGAGCTCACTGACGGCAGCTTCGTGTGTGTTACTGTGCAGATGTGGCGCCTAAACTGTGGCCGTGGCGCCAACAGTGAGCGGCAGGGCTGAGGTCGGTTCAGGGTTCTAGTTTATTAGGAAGAGCTGCTGTGGTGTTCAGGTTTTATGCCGTTTCTGTTATTTTGTCCACCACCTTCAGATCAGTGAACGATACAGGCAGCAAATCTGCACAAACTTTAACTTTTCACTGTTTTTGCTCCAGAATCGATGAATAAGCTAATCAATAATCCTGAGCAATGATCTTTGTCTTCAGCCCAAAGTGAAAAAGAGCTCGCAGGAGGAGGAGCCTCTGCTGAAGGACAACCCTCGCCGCTTCGTCATCTTCCCCATTGAGTACCACGATATCTGGCAGATGTACAAGAAGGCAGAGGCGTCCTTCTGGACGGCAGAGGAGGTAGGTAGAGCTGTAATGGGGCGGGGCTTGATGCTGGACGCCGTGATGCTGACGTGCTCTTTCTGTGCAGGTGGATCTGTCCAAGGACCTGCAGCACTGGGATGCCATGAAGGACGAAGAGCGCTACTTCATCTCCCACGTGTTGGCCTTCTTTGCCGCCAGCGACGGCATCGTCAATGAGAACCTGGTGAGCCGCTGCGCCTGCTCTTACAGATGGTTTTGAGGTCACGGACCGCTGTAACACTCTTGTTGTCGCTCTTTGACCAACAGGTGGAGCGCTTCATGCAGGAAGTGCAGGTAACGGAGGCCCGGTGTTTCTACGGTTTCCAGATCGCCATGGAGAACATCCACTCAGAGATGTACAGCCTGCTGATCGACACGTACATCAAGGACCCCAAAGAGAGGTACGCAGGAGGCGGGGCCAAATACTGTTCTGTAATGGCTTAACTGGCCTGTACTGATCTAACTGGTGAGTCACGATGTGTTCCCGCCCTCAGAGAGTACCTGTTTAATGCCATCGAGACGCTGCCGTGCGTGAAGAAGAAGGCTGACTGGGCGCTCAACTGGATCGGCAACAAGAACGCCACCTACGGTAAATAAGCTGCTGCCCATTAGGCCACCTGACACAATGGTTCCACCTCAAGCAGCTTCATTGATTATTGTCTGTTTATTGATCTGCAGGAGAGCGCGTGGTGGCCTTTGCCGCTGTGGAGGGGATCTTCTTCTCGGGTTCGTTCGCCGCCATCTTCTGGCTGAAGAAGAGAGGCCTGATGCCCGGCCTGACCTTCTCCAACGAGCTCATCAGCAGAGACGAGGTGAGGCGCCCTGTTGGTGTCGGATTGCAGGTATTGATCCAGTGATGATGTCACTCTTAACGTGTGTTTGTGTGCCTGGCGCGTTTAGGGTCTGCACTGTGACTTTGCCTGTCTGATGTTCAAACACCTGGTGAACAAACCGCCCAAGGAAACTGTCATCAGCATCATCAAGAACGCCGTGGAGATCGAGCAGGTGAGTCCCAGCTGCAGGTGAAGCTGCTCTGTTGGGCCCACTGGTTCACGGTGGATTTACTGGTTCAGGATGGCTTTAATGGGTTTATTGGTTTGTGTGCAGGAGTTCCTGACTGACGCTCTGCCCGTCAAGCTCATCGGGATGAACTGCGACATGATGAAACGGTACATCGAGTTCGTGGCCGACAGACTGTTGCTGGAGCTCTGCTTCTCCAAGGTAACGCCCCACACAGGTCATGTGATCATGTGACTGACTTAAAGGCAGAAAAACAGCATCGCGAAACATCCGCACTCATCTCAGTGACAAGCTAAACTTAAAATAAAACATGGTCAGTTCTCCACACAGACACATTTCAGGAACTCTTTGACCTTAGAGAGCAACATGATGAAGGTGGTGGTGTGAGTGATGATGAAGTGCGCAGGGGTACGGACCTCAGCCAGTGATGGGGGCTGAGTGCTGCTGCAGAGTCTGGTCAGAGGACGAGTGGTTCTCTGACGGGCAGCGGCAGTGCGACACAGACGCCTATCTGAACTCGCCCGTGGGTGGGGGCGGGTGACCTCAGGGTGGGGGCAGTGGGTGGAGCTGACTGACATGGTGTTTCTGTGTGCAGATCTACCGGGTGGAGAACCCTTTTGACTTCATGGAGAACATCTCCCTGGAGGGAAAGACCAACTTCTTTGAGAAGCGGGTGGGTGAGTACCAGAGGATGGGCGTGATGGCGACGCCCACGGACAACACCTTCCGGTTGGACGCTGACTTCTGATGGTGGAGCGTCCCTGCCGTCACACTACCTCCGCCCCAGTGCATGCTGGAACAGACTCTTGGACTTTTAGGGTCAAATGATGAACTGAATCTTTATTTACAGACTTGTGAGTCTGTGAGCCGCAGCATTAGACCTGATCAAATCTAACGCTGCGGCTCAGCGCTGTGTAAATATGTCAGGGTTTTAAATGTGTACAGTTTACATTTGTTTTTTTTTGTTTTTTTTTTTTAGTGTATTTTTAATACTGAGCTTTAATAAATGACTCCGTGAACAGGAACCAGCTCTGGTCTTTTTCTTCTGACATTAAGTTGAACTGAAAAGTTTAAAACATTTTTAAAATCTGGTTCCTCAGGTTTCATCTGATTTGACTGCGTAAACTTAGAAAGTCATGTTCATAGAGAAAACTAATCTGAACTCAACATCTGACCCAGCGTCACGGCTGGGCGATGATCTGGTCCCTGTTGTGGCGCCAGCACCACTATCATCAGCAGCTGCTTTTGGAACAAAACAGCTGGACAGATGTGAGGAATGACAGACTTATTTTGAAGACACTGGACAAGACATGGGTTTTTAGTAAAAGAGGAAATGAAGTTAGAATCTGTTAAATGATTGGTTATGGAGGACGCATTATTATTATTATTATTTTTATTTTTTACGGCTTCGTGTTCATGATGGTTAGCAGACGCTCAGAGGACTCTGACGACAAGCAGTGTCACATCTCCTTTCACCTCCACCTGGTTGATGGCGCTCAGCTCCTTCATACGGTGTTTGTAATCGAGCTGGTGCTGCCCATTCATGGCAACTCTGAAGTGCTGCGCGTCGCAGCGGATGATCATCTGTGGGGAGATGACAGCAGGTTTAAAAATTAAACAAAAAAACCCATCACAACATGTGGATGTTAAGGCAGGGGTCAAAAGTCACCTCAAAGTACTGCCCCGCAGTGAAGGGAAAGGAAGCGAGCGCCATCTCCTCATGACCCCAGCAGTCAGACAGAAAGGAGTTCCTGACAAAGACACGCTTCTTCAAGCGAGGGTTCAGGTGGAGAGCGATGTCAGACCCGGTCGCTGGACGCAAGTTCACGCAGAAACTGTAACAGGAAGTGATGTCATTAATGAGCCATGAAAGGCTAAACCGAAACTCTGAACTGCTTCATGTTTACTTTCTCTGCAGGTTCATGCAAGGTGGTCTGTGATGATCAAGTGACGGTCACATAACTCAATTTAAATGTATATTTAAATAAAACCTGTAAACTCTTAAAATGTTTCAGTGACTTTAATCCAAACATTATTTATTTAAACTTGCACTTCAGTTTAAGCTAATCAGTTTCTACTGGCGCCAGACTTCAGGTTTACTACATAGAAGTTATTCATCACAGTCAGGTTTTCAGCTTGTGGAGTCAGCTTGTAAATCAGAGCCTGTATTCACAAAGCTGTGATTAATTTATCATGAATTTAAGAATATAAAACTTATGTTGTTATTAACAAGAACAAAATTTTTATTAAGTTAATTTAAGTTCTGATCGATGCCTCACTGATTGTCGCTTTGATCAGTTTCTGTACTGGGCTCCACCAGCTGTTTATTATCTTTACCTCTCTGCGTTCTGATTGGTCTCTCCTTTGATGATGATGCTGCGTCCGACTGTCAGCCCATTAACCAGCTGACCTCTGAACGGGATACTCTGTAGGAAACAGGGAGTCAGACACACTAAAACATTTCCCTTTTTTTGGCTTTATAGTTTTAAATATAAATTTAGATCTGTGTTAAAAGTTAGAAGATCATTTGGTATCAAATAAGATCAGTGATCTCACTGATTAATGTAAGATCAATCGGTGAAATATGATAAATCATTTTCTTTACCAAAATATGATTTCAGGCCAACCATGTGGGCTGATATAATATGACTGATATAAAAAACAGATTTTAATTGATCATATTTATGTTAAGTAAAATAAGCTAAAAGTTGCTTTAAAAATAATTCATTCAAATTTCTTTGTATTAAACTGTTGTTATTGTAAGAAATAAATGCATCATCAATTATTGATTTGATCAGGAAAACTCACCAAATCACCTGATGAGGAGAACACTGGCTGAAACGCATGGGAAAAAAATCTGATTAAAATGTGATCGACTGATGCATAACTCTAGCCAATCAGACCACATCCGACGCTGATCAAAAAACAGACGCAGTTTCTCCAGAAAGGTCCACGTTTCCGCTGCCCTGTGATGACTCGTGTCCTGTGCTATGAAGATACCCACGTTATCTTTCTGTTATGATCCACTTAAGCTAACAGTGAGGGTCAGAGTTCACACCAAGCTGGTTATCAACTGGGTAAGTAACTCAGGATTTGACCTGTGCAGTCACATGAAAGGGGCGGGGCTTTCATATTTGGAGGCATTTCACAGATCATGTGACTTTTCTTCCACAGAAAACAATCCTTATGAGTGCCAGCCATCCAGAGATGCTATCAGACAGTGATTTCAAATCTTTAGCTAACATAAAACTATACTAGTGAAATGCAACACAGATATTGAAAGGACACCTGATCAATTATTGCTGATTCGTCTGTGTCCTTATTGGGCGGACTGCCAGCGGGAGAGGTGGGGCTCTGAAACAAACAAACAAACAAACAAACAAACAAACAAACAAACAAACAGGTTAACCCTCTGATGGTAAAGCTGCAGGTTGCCACGGGTTACAGAGACACTCACTGAGCTCGGGGAAAGGATGCCCACAGCCTGAACTTTGACTTTTCCTGAGATGCTGATGGTGTCAACACGCTCCAGCTCCACTCTGTGTTTGTACTCCAGCAGGTGGGCGCCGTTCACAGCCACCTGAACACGCACGGAAAACAACATATCGCTGGACACCAGTTTGACTCGCATTGAACAGTTAAACTAAAGTTCTGCCGTGCTGACTCTTCTCTGAAACCTGATTGGTCGGCTCGTCTCTCACCTTGAACTGGTCTTGGAGGATGAGGATGATGAGCTCGAAGTCGACCTCGAGCCTGAAGGGCATCTCGTAGTGGATCTGTTCGCGGCCCCAGCACTCTTTTGTCAGCGTGTTGCACACGATGGACGACTTTTTGATCCTCGGGTTGAAATGGAACGCTACGTCGGCCCGCGGCTTCACGCTGCTGCCGCAGGTGAAGTCCACCTGGAACCTGTGAGACAGCGAACAGAGAGAGAAGATCCCGCTTTAAGAATCTGCACCCCGACTCTGACGTTTTTTTTTTTTTTTTAAATATCCGATTGATGATGAAGATCGGCATCCTCACCTGTCAGCACCAGACGGCACAGAGCCCTTGATCAGAACCATCTCACCTGGCAAGAACCCACCCAGGATCGTCCCAGCAAAGGGAATCGACTGTGGACAGAACACCACAAACATGAGGAGGGTCAGATGACCACAGAGAACACCTAGAAACACCTGAGAGGAGGGACTAGATCGGTGTGAATGAACCAGAGCTCAAACCTCCGTCAGCAGCTGATCAGATTAGAATCTGAAATTAGAATGTAACAGGAGAATCACAGAAATTCTCCTGCTTTCACTTAGAGACGCTCAGAGAAAACCTCCACCTGTTTACACGTATCTACAAATTTCATATATTTAGAGTTTTTTCCAAAAGTTTGATTTGGCACAGATTTTATGCAGAATGTCCTCCCTGACACAACCCTCCTGTTTACCTGGGCTCTGACCCGGGGATGGGTGTGTCTCCCCTCCTGGGCTTGAATGTGTTACCCTGTATGCAGCACAGATCCACGTCTGTGGATTTGAAATAAAGTGAAATAAACGTGTCTAAACAGATTCAAGAAACGTGAAGAAGTGAAGTGAAGAAGCTTTTCCATGAGACGAGGTGAAACGTCTTCAAGAAACTTAAAGTTGTCCAGTCGCGTTTCTTTCCAAGCTCCTTAGACTACCATGACCTGGATCACTGCGAACCTTCACAGACAGCTTTGATTTGATTATAAAACAATAACTAAAATAAAAGCAGAGCAGTAAATAATCTGCTCTCAGGTCTTTGGACTGTCTGTCTGTATCAGGCCGTCAGTTCCGCTTTCAGGTCCAAAGTATTCTCATTAAGCTTGTTCCGCACTTGAAGTCAAACGATTCTGACTCCAGGTAAAGACACCTGCTAGCTCACTTGAGTCACCACAGTAAGACTGTGTGACGAGTCATGTGCAAAGGTGGCAAAAGTGCTCGCTCATCTTGGCTAACTAGATGCTGAAGTACAGCAAGCGCAGTTTACGGACACCTGCAGTGGTTCTGGTCTTCATGTGACATCCTCAGGGGACTAATAAACGAATAGGACTGCCTGTCATGTGTTTCTGTTCAGGCTCAGATAAGTTTGATGTTTGAGGCTCACAGTGATAAAATAATAACTCCCCCAAAGACGTCAAACCTGAAGTCCGTTCTGAAAATGTGAGAAGCAGAAGGTTCAGGTGTTTGTTTCAAATGTAGGGAGTGAAAATAAAAAGAAGTCAGAAAAAAAACCCAAAAAACTACTCAGGTACCAACAAAGTATTTGTACTTTACGTCCCACCTCTGGTCATGTGATCATTATTAAACTTCAAACAGTGCTCCACCTGCAGGAGAATATATAAGTTTATAGGTGAACCTGAATTGGGTGACCTGTCCACCCAAAGACGACTGTAATTGTAAACTGGTGCTAAAGAAAGAAAGTTGAATTGAATTACAGTCCTCAAGTTACTTTACTTTTGCCCACAGCTCTGCTAACATCCCAACAAAGAATCTCTGTTGTTTCTCACATGTT